CCTGAACAGACTTTGCCTTCTGCATTTTATTTACAACATAAAGTTAAAGCAGTCAGTTGTGGGCAAATAGACTGCATATGAAAAACTTCCTGCTGTTTTGACATGTCTGTAATGAATGTCTTGAGTCATTCTGTACTTCTCCAAAATGCCACAGAAAGACCAGCTTGCGTGAGTACTTATTATTGTTCAAAAAACTGCAGTGCTCCTTTTACATGAAGCCGGGGCTGATTTTGAGCAATGTTTTGCCCTGCACGTCACGATATCAGGAAATACCAACCCCTTTACAATCAGGTTGAAAGTGAGAGATCTGCTGCAAAGCTCTTCAGTCTGACTAGGCGGCTGTGATATTTTAGTCATTTCTTAGCATGTTGCGTGACACTGGCATCAGGTCGTTGGTACAGGGGAAATCGTGGGTAGCTCAAGGTTTACAGATCAGTCAGTGTCGCGTGCTAACAGCCTTTATAGACAGTTTTCACAATCACCTTTTTATCATTTCATCTTCAGCGATGTGCCTGTTTGAACAGGCTGCTCACAATGTTAAGTTTATTACAGCAATCCTCTTTCTTCTCTTAACTTGTCGGTTTGATGGTGGGGACACACATTAAGGTAAGAGGAAAAGGAAAACGTGTAGACGGGCTGGTGTCAGAGGGTTTGGTGCCAGTGTGATTTTCTGCTCTTAGAGTGTGAGTTAGGTGAGGGCTGCAGTTAAATGTGGAATCAGTCAGGATGGGAGTAAAGTTTTCAATACTCGAAATAATGTAAGTCATGTGCAATACTTAACAGAAAATCTCCCTTATTAGAAACGTCTGGGCGAATGGAGATGTCTGACAAACAGAACACTATAATTTGTTAGCAATATTAGCTCTCTCTAGTTCATACAGGGTCAGGGTTGAAAGAAGAAACCTGCATTAATAACCTTGTCATGTGTAATTTAATAAAATAAGAAAAACTCAGAGCCCCTCTCTGGACACTAATTTGTTCTAGTAGATGTGTTTTTTCCGCATTTAACTACTTAAAAACGTAATCTAGTAATACTCGTAAATTAAAGCGTTTAACAGCACTGACCGCTAAAAGTAAAGTTTGCAAGCTGCTTACTTTAAATATCGCTCTCTAACGATGGACAAAGGAGCGGACTTGGATATATTGCTGGTCCATGCTAACTTATATTCTACGTATGTGTTTATATAAGACAGCATTTTATAAATATTATATATACAAAACATTACTGTGCATTTCATTGCCCGGGTTAACACTCATAACAGCACTTTGCGTGATTGTTCGTCTTCTCTGACTTTGACACGTCAGCCTTCAATCTGCCTTTGAGCTCATTTTTTTCTCAGTAGTGGGCTTACTCTGTAAATGCATAAAAGACAAATTATATATATCACAACATTTATGGTTTAAAATTTTGATTCAATTAAAAAGACTAAAATCTGAAGAACTTGGACATCCAAAAGACTGTTTTGTAAACATTGGGATGTGGTTTTCTTGGCACATTAGAGGCGTTAATTTCATCCCTTTATTTCAGATTTTAGTCATGGAAGCACCAGATATATTTTACTTTTTGCTGCTTTTTCAATTTGCTACTGATTTTCTTTATGTTGACGAGGCGATGGTGACTTCACGCCTAAATAAAAAGAATTATGTGCAACGTTCCTAAACTTTAATGTTAAATTAAAAAGTAAAACAAAAAAATTTTCTTTTTGGTTTTAAGGCTTATCAAATGCTTGTTTATACATTTTTAAAAACAATGCAATGTTCAACACGGATATACTTTTATCTGCAAAGGATGTGCAGCATTTGTGCCGCTGCTACAGCTATCTGTCTACAAATGGTTTGTCATGAAATATTTAGAGAAGAATAATTATTTTTTGGGTGGATTTTAAACAAACCGAAACATTTTTCTTGCTGTTGCACTTTGCGTTTTAAAAAACGAGGCATTTATTTTGCTCGTTGATTTTTCCCTGATTCAGTTTGAACTCTAAATATGTTTTGCACTAAAATGATTATTTTTTTAATCTTTATTAACAAAAACAGAATACTGTGCCTTACGTCACAATATCAGGAAACTTTTACCTCCTCTTACAATCAACCTGAAAGTGAGAACAACCCCACCAAACTCAAAAATGCTTTATTTGAGTAGGCAGGCGTTTTATATTTCACACATTTTCATGTCTGCCTGCAGCTTTCAAGAGCCAGTTTCATATTTTTATCATCAGTGTAGCAAATAAGAATACTATATTTTTAACTGAAGCATACGTCTTTCTAATAGCATTGTGACGGAGTAAACCCCCAGCTTATGCTTTACAATTTACAGTCACTTCTATGGTTAGGGAGAAATAATTCTGACAATTTGGTAGTCATATCTTTGGTATAGTTTTCACAAATCAAGTGATTATGAGTCATATGTGGCTGCAGATTTGTTATGAACCACAACCACACTCCCAGACATTTCAACTTGGTGGATTTTTCACAGCAAACTGATTAAAATCACTAAATTTGCCACTAAAAATTAGGTTATTTTTAAAGTTACTGTTACATATATGCATCTGCACATCAAAACATGTGAAAGCATTGTCTTTTAGCTTACATTTTGCATTATTTTATAGTTACGTGTCTTAGAGCCCTTACCTGTACTATTAGAGGTGTTGAACATGTCCTTGGTGCTCCTCCTGTGGCAGTTGGAGAGATCAGTGAAACTCTCATGTTTAAAAACACGCCTTTGGGGTAAACCTTAACCAATGAAACACACTCTGTGTTTTGCTGACCTCGCCGTACCCCAGCTGTTTGTTTCCTCAGGAGGATGTGAACTGACTGAGATGATTCACATAGATCTTTATGGTACCTTGGCTTTATTAAAACAGTGCAATCAAGATAAATCATTAGAATGGGTTTTTGCCTATCAGTGCTTTTGTTCTCTCATAACGTTTAAAGTCTAGTTGACTCCCTAGAATGCTGTGGCTTCTTTCAGTTCTCTTTTATTCACTTATATATGAAGCTTATTTCAATAAATGCGCATTCAGCTCTAAATTAAAATAAAATATATAAAAGCTCAATGAAGCTTCTGTTTTGAAAATCTGTGTGTGATCATGTTGAATCATCCTGATGGTAGGTTAGTAGAGAAAAAATAATGTGAATTGGCCTTTTTAGATACAAGTTATTTCCCCAAAATTTGTCTTTGTTCTTGTTATAGATTGAATATTACAATGCATTTTGCTGTAGGTTCAACTGGCAGGTCAAACGTAACAAACCACATCTTGGGGCGTGACTGCATACTGGTGCCAGGACCAGTTCATAACCTCTGCCTGCTTCGTTTCGAGAGTTTATGATCGTTTGAGGACCCTGGCCACATAAGTCTCTCAACTTGTGAACTCAGTCAAGCATTTTTTCTCAAACCAAACTCAGAGTCATCCCTCGTGAGACCAAAGGTTTTCTGTGTAACCACCATAGAACCGTTATTATTGACATCTTAAGACATGAGATCAACTGCCAGTCAGCTAAAAACGTGATGAGCCACAAGACTCCGTGCATGTTGGATGATGTTATGTACGTTGTACATCGACTGAGAGACCAGCATATATATATATAGGTTATACCAAGAGCATTGGTTG